CCCTCAACTACATATTTCAGTGTAAAGAACACAAAACAGGTGCTCATTGGATTACTGTCCTATCACCAAGACACATATATAAAGCTATAAAATAAACATAAACAGTGGTTGGTTTTAAATTTGATCTTTTGTACATATCTGCTATCTCATGAAAATGTTTCCAAAATGTAATATTATGACGTATTTGTTTACCATTTCAGTTTTTTATTCCACAGAATGATGTTATTTAATATTTTATATGTTATTTTGTTGCAGTTGGAGTGGCAGTTCCAATCTCTGGAATATTTTGTGTGACGATCATTTTCCTTGTTTTTGCACTGTTTAAGATATTCCGTAAGTTTTTATACTTTCTTGTATGTATAATGAATTATACCTATAATATGCCTAATATGGTGCTTCCTAGGATAGGAAGCAAAGAAGTGGTCAATATTGTTCTTCCTGAGTGATGTAACTTTTTTTCCATTTTCTTTTTTTCAGAAAACGTCCACTGTCGCTCGTTTGAATCCATCCACACCCCTGCCACTGAAACCCAGGACTCACCAATACATACAACTTATTCCAAAGTCTGAGACCATTGAATACAACACATATCATTTGATTTTCTTCATGTCTTATTCTGCCTTGCACTTAAGATATGATGACAAAAAAGTTGAGGCTGTATAGGAAATCATTTAAAAACATAAAAGTGGAAAGAAAACATTTTCAGTGCATAATTATATATTTTTGTTGAACGTACTGCTGATGATGCTTGTAAATCCATATTATGCCTTTCAATGTGGGTTATGCTTGCATACATATGAAAAATGTTAATTTAAAACAATGCTATTTTCTGTAGAATTAAACAATATTGAGTAATTGGTTAATTTTTTTTTTTTTTACCTATGACTAATATTCTTTAGCTTCTTTCAATGTTTTCTTATTGTTTTTGATTCTATCAGCAATGATAGTTTTCTTGACTCTAATGTTTGGATTTTGATTCTGCCATTGTTGAGCCCATTGTTGACCTATAACATCAAAAGGATCTTATTGCTGAAATATATCAGTCAGGAGAAGGGTAAAAATGCCATGGCATTAGATATACCATGGAACACAATGAAGACAGTCATCAAGAAGTGGAGAAAATATGGAACAACAGTGATGTTACCAAGAACTGGACGTCCCTCCAAAATGGACAAAAAGACTAGATGAAAACTGGTCAGGGAGATCAAAGTTCAAAGAAGAGCATTCAAGACATGCAAGAGACCAAGGAGTCAACGATGAAGATTGAGGAGGTCAGTGAATGGAAGGATCATTGAGGTTTTCCCAGAACAGATGGGTCTTAAGGTGTTTCTTAAAGGTTTTGATGGATTCGGATATGGGTGGGTAGTCATCCCTCCATTGGGGAAGCCACATGAGAAATAAGTTAAAAACCGCCTTCATTAATCTTCATACAAGTATTCATTGAGTTAACTCAGTGATGCCTCTAAGCCAAAGTAGCATATAAAACGTGCAAGTGTCCAAATTTGTTTACATAATTGGTCATCAAAGCGTTCCAAAATATTCACATACAGCATACACTAACCATAATGTTAACTCTGTTATATCCAGCTATTATTCTGCTTATTGAGATAAGTGTTGTGACATACACTGCCTGACCAAAAAAAAGTTGTCATTTGAATTTATATCAGCAAATACTTAGGAACCAATGACTTTATCATTATTACAGCTCAGCTACGTTATGCAGCAATAAAGTGAAGTCAGCTGAGTACCTGAATCTACTGAATGGCCAGGTTACACCTCCATCCATCATCAATGGAGTTTTCTCTTCCCTGTTGGCATGGGCATATTCCAGGACAAGGATGCTAGTATTCATTGGGTTTGTATTGTCAAAGAGTGGTTCAGGGAGCATGAGGAATCATTTTCACATATGACTTGGTCACCACAGAGTTGTGACCCTAACCCGATTGAAGGTCTTTGGGATGTGTTAAAGAAGGCTTTATGGAGTGGTTCAACTCACTTGTCAATACAGGATGAGAAATTAATGCAAATCTGGATGAAAATAAAGGGTGAGATGTTGCATAAGCTTGTGGAAACAATGCCATGACAAATGTGCGCCATAATCAAAGCTAATGGAGGTCCAACGAGAAATTCAAATGATGACTTTTTTTTTTTGGCCAGGCAGTGTATACCATACTATAAAGATTTAAAAATAACCAAATATACCAAAAAATAGTTTGCAATATCCTTGCCCTGCTACAAAAAATGTCTGCACCTTGTATCTCAAGACTAACATCAACATGAGTACCAGATGATTACAAATGAGATGATTGCAAATGACTCCATGAGTAGCTGATGATTGCAAGAACATCTTCTAAATTTGTAGTATGTGATGATGCCTGAACTTTATTTATTTATTATATATCTCTGCTATGACTTATTTCTTGACATCTGTACCAGAACACCTAAATACAACGTAACAATCAACGTAATAGCTGACCTTCCCAGCTTCAGCTGAACTTCCGATGTGTTATATTTTTTTCTTTTAGATTTGAATAGAATTCCCTCGCCGGTTCCATTAGAGCTACAGCTTCAGCTTAGAATTGGAAGCATCACGTCCAGCCTTCAGACAGAGAGATTGTTTTTTCTGCAAGAATATTGATGTTTGTTCTGGCCTTCTTCTGTACAGTATCAGTTTTATGGTACAGCCCCCAAAATACTGCATTCAGAATTAATTTTTGTGGGCTGAGGGTTTGAGGGCTCCTCTGGCGCTCTATAATCCCCCCCCCCCAGCACATGCCCCTCACATGACCTGGCTCTGACATTAACACCTGGGTGGCGCAGGGGCTCTGCCCCAACTCTTTGAGTTATCTGAACAGGAAATTCCATCCTGGTGTTTTTGAAACAAAGTTTGTTAGCTGGAGATGAAAGTAAGTGGCCATTGTAAGCTGTGAAATACTCACCTGGGTAGGGTTACCTTGGATGTTTTCTTTTTTGAGATTTTTTTAATTATATGCATGCGTTCAGATCAGTTTACTCAAGTGGGACACTGATTTCTATGCATAATGAGTAAGAAACCTTTTACTTTTGTTAAACCCATAGTATATATAACTGACAAATCAAATACACCAGCAGAAGAAAAACTATTTCCAGGCTACGTGTGACTACTTATTAGTAACCAATAATAAATATTTGTTACATAGACTACAGAACCACCCAAAAAGCCATTTGTATCAGTAACATCGTATGTTATACAACAAATATTGCTTGTTCTTTTGTTATAATTCACAAAAGACATCACAGATAGGTGCCAACACAAAAAATGGCAAGAAAGGATTTTGTCAACATCTCTCCACAGGGATAAATGTCAGGATTTTCTGTCTGGCACTACATTTCACATATTATTCTGTAGCTAGAAAGGATTGTTACTGTTCCAGTACTAAAATAGTTTATTCAATTAAATGTCTATTTATTTAATATCAGTTTAAAAACTGACTTTTTGAATAATTATAGCATGCCTATGAGAGAAACTCAAAATTCTAATGAGATTTGCTTAGATTCAAATAAGGGTCATCGTGCTTTAGATCAAGATGAAGGGACAGAGTTTTATTCAAAAGGTCAAAGGGCAAGAAAAGGCTCTTCATTTCCTGTGAAATTCAGGGAGGATAGGGTCTGTGCCATGACCGTGAGGTCATCACCCCTGACAGCCGCATGAAATAATGACTGAGTGCATGAAATAATGTTTTTTCATCAATTATGATTCAATACTCACAGCTCAAAATGTCACCGCACATTACAAGACAGAATTTAACACAGAATGCTGGGTAATAAATTAATCAGTGGCAATGTCAGCGTGAACCCATAGAGACAAAGATTACATCTTACAGTACAGGGGTGACGAGGCACGGATGTTTATCGGCGTGCTTAACATTTGTCTGAAATATTCAGCACCTCAGAGAGCTAAGGAACTGCAACCACAGACTGCCAAAAGACACCAAGCAGCAGAGTGATGTCTATATGCACTGCATTTCACCACTGTTTACCTGTACTTGTCATGTCCTGCCCATCATGTGTGTGTCTGGTCCTACCATCTCCATTCAAGCCACGCCTGTTACTCGTCATGTATAAAGTACCTGCTTGTCTTGTGCTCCCCAGTCCAGTCACTGTCATCCTCTGCACCGTGACCAGTGACTCCCCCCTTTGTTGCCATGTTCCTGATCCTGCTCCTCGCTACCCTCGGTCTCCCTTCTGTTTGACCCCTCAAGGTTCTTTTCTTTCATTTCCTTGGTTTCTGTTTTGTTCCGGACTGCCAGTAAACCTCCCACGGTTTTTCCTATGGCTGTATCTGGGCCCTCCCTCCTTTGTATTGTGACAGTACTATTTACACTGGCTCATTGTTGTTTATTGTTGTCTACTGGGGTGCATTATATTTTATTGGTAACACTGTACTTGAAGGGGCACAAGTCAGTTACTACTCAAGTACAAATCATGATCAAATTTAGTAGCTGCATGAAATTCATGACCTGTTATGACTTATTGATGATAAGCCAACATGGGATCAGTGCATAGTTTCTGGTTATTGCATTAAGTAAGAGTGTGCTACTACTTTATTTGTGCCCCATCAAGTAAAGTGTTAGCTTTTTACTTTAGTTTTTTTTTTTTATCCCCACCTAGTATTTGTTCTTCAGTGTTTATTGTTTAATTATTCTTTGTTATAACTGATTGATGCTATGAAGACTCACAATTTCATGTGTGTCAAATGACAACAAAGTGACTTGACGTGACTTGAATGCATCACCTCTTGTTGTTGGTTGTTCAGAGGAGGATGCAGCTGTTTAACGAACTTTGGGCTTCTGTTAGCTTTCGCCTTCTTCCCTGGCGTTCCTCAACACTCCACTTTTGTCTCATGATTGATCCAAGGGCATCGTTAGGCCTGTCTGTATTTTTTTTTTTGAGACAACTTTTTTGCCAAAGCAGGAAATATTTACAAAACTTGATAATGGGGAAAATAAAACTAAAGTTTTAAGTAGCAAATACATTAATGTTATACTGAACAAATTTGGTGAAACAGACCAATAATATGAGCTTCTCATGTTACCTCAGGATGTCTAAAAATATCTTTTAAAAAATGACTCTAATAACCCAAATCATTATAATCATAATAACAATCATGCTATCTGTACATCTGTTGAATATGAGGTTAAAGCTATAGGAGTGTTATGCTCTTGTTTCTGTAAAGGTCTTCAATCTATTTCCTTCTGTTTTGGTCATCTTATCCATATAGAATAATCGGCATTGTTTCTTATCCTACAAATAAGAAATCTACGGGCCATAACATTACAAACCTCAAAAGTTCTTAATCTTAATCTACGAGAATGATTCCTGGTCTTAGAGGAATGTCTTATGAGGAGAGGTTAGCTGAGCTGAATCTGTTTAGCCTCGCGCAAAGGAGATTATGGGGGGACATGATCCAGGTCTATAACATTCTAACGGGTCTGGATGCTGTTCAGCCAAATGGCTACTTCAATATTAGTTTAAATACTAGAACTCGTGGCCATAAGTGGAAATTAGTGGGAGAACATTTTAAAACAAATTTGAGGAAGCACTTCTTTACACAGCGTGTAGTATGGAATAGTCTTCCTGCTAGTGTAGATGAAGCTAAAACCCTGGGTTCCTTTAAATCAAAGCTAGATAAGATTTTAACAGCTATTAGTTAAGTTCTCCCCAAACGAGCTTGATGGGCCGAATGGACCCATCTCGTTTGTAAATTTCTTATGTTCTTATGAAAGAATGTATTTAATTTCAGCAGCTGAGTAGAATGTTTTATACCGCTATAATTATTTTGTCATTCAAAAGGAACAACAATCCTATCCTAAACCCACAAACAATTTAATAAATATATACATTTTAAAAACATGTATGTGAAATTTTAAAACCCGATCACACAGTTTCCACGGTGAATTTTACCTCAGACCACCTCTCGCCATTTTCACTGAATTTTAAAGCGCGACTCATGGACTGTAGTTTGTGTGTGCCTATTCATTGTAAGATTGAATCTGACTGAACTGCATTCCTTTGTCATTAGAAAAAAAATATACATTTTCCATTAATATTTATCTAAATTAACCCACTGCCAGATATGTCTCCTGTATTTAGCTTGTATTGGGTCGAGGGCTGATCCCCCCTAATTTTCAAATCCTAGAACCGCCCCTGGATTGATCCCTTCTCTGATTGGACACGCCGCAGCGGATGGGTGCCGTCCAGGATGAGTCAAGGCAGCGGATGAAATAGGACCCGGGATTTTCAGAAAGACCCAGCGGAGATTAGGTGACAGCGCTGTCCCCAATCTGTGCCACCAGGGGAAGGGTGTTTTAGGCTTGTTACTGAGTGCAACATTGTGGCAGGAAATGGATCAATGTGCAAACTTTTGTGGGAAACTTGATTTTAATTCCTGTAGTTTGAGGAAGCTCCTTTAAGCTGCTGCTAAGCCACAGGAAACGTGCCCTGGAGCTGAGGTGGGAAGTGAAGCAGGAAGGGAGGGTAAATACACTGTGTCCATCAAGCCAGGAGTATTTAAACTCACAATCGTTCAGTAAGGATGAGTAAAGCTTCAGCAGGTATTTTACAATACACAGGAGTAGAAGTTCAAAAAAGGCCTTTAAAGAGAAGGCGTTAAAGAGGCCCTCTTCACCAAAAAAAGCCTTATTTAGTTCCATCTGCAAAATTTAGTTCCAAGCAAAATTAGTTCCATCTGCAAACACTGAGTGGTTTGTACTTAAGCTCTTCCTATCTTGATTATTGACTGCATCCTGTTTCCGAATGTAACACAGACTCTATCTAGTCTCATTTTATTGTATGGCACGCCGTTCTCATTTATGGGACACAAAAAAGATTAGATTCAGTGTCAACGGATTAGTGTGGGCTCGCGCGAAATTAGGATCAGATTTTTTTTTAATGGTCCCCAAGCATAATAGGGGATCGGCTTTCGGTGAAATGCAATCCCTGGGAGGGTGAATGAGGTATAAACAAACAACTGTGAAATAGAGCCACGGAACAGGTGCTGCAGAAAGCTAGCAGTGCCGCATGCCGCCGACGTTTGTTCAGCTGACGTGTGAATTACGCTGGGTAGCATTTCGCCGCAGCCCAACTGAGGGGACCAAGCTACTCATTTCAGAAGTCAATTAAAGGCAATCAATGTTTTTGTTCCCGTAACCTTTAATGATGCTGGTGCTCCTATTTGGATATTATGGAAATGTACACAATTTGTATAAGGAAACAGTTTTAAAATGTAAATAAAATCAAAATGCCTTTGCCATACACAGAGGCCAGTGCAGAAAAGTCATATAATTTAATATTACTATAAAATGTTTGGTTAATTGTCCTACTAAAGCTCAGTTTGATATATTTCAAATGATTTTATACATAATAGTTCCGTTTAATGAATAAAACATGCGCTTCTAAACAGATCTAACCATAACCTCCCCTCCCCCCCATTTTCTTTTGTCAAAAAGATTCTTTGCAACGTTTTCCGCAAGATAAAACAGGATATGAATTTAACATTTATGACATGTTCCCCAATAAGCTATGGTAGACATTGTTAAGTAAAAACTTTAAAAATGAGCTACACCCGATTCATTTGTTCATTGAAACGTTACAGAACTGAGATAACGAGTGCAGTGTCCTTCAAGTAAGATGCAACAACATCTTTCGAGTAAGATGCATTAATGCTTTCCAGGTAAACTTTTTAATATGGAGACACACGGTGCTAAACGTAACAGGACTATAGGACTCAATGAAGTAGCTCTAAAAAGTAAAGACATTGATGTTGAGGATAAGAAGGTATGAGTTGTTAGCTCAGTCATTTTAAGACAGGCATGCCAACAGAGTGTGCAAGGAGCTCCTCGGGGGACGACCTGGTTGACATCTAGCTGTGGAACGGCTTGGAGACTCCGGAATGCACCCTGTAGTGCTTGTAGAGGACGGTGGCTGTGGCAGCCACGCCAATACAAGCCAGAACCAGAATACCCACTGCTATTCCCAGGCCCATGGAGGTCTTGGAATCATCTCCCTTGCTGTATGATGCTATTCATCAGTGGGGAAGGAGAAGCCAGTTAGACTTCAAGTTTTTTCATACTACTGCAATTTTTAAGTTCTTTGAGGTCGGCTGCCATGTTCTGCCTACTGAACAGTATATAATATTCCCATAGCCTGCAACAGTTCTAATCATGGTCCTGACAGAACATATTCGGGCTCAGATCTAATCTCCACAATTAAGGATTGATGAAAACAGACAATTGAGTCATCAATGACTCATATGAGTTTGTAGTAGAATGACATTTACGTTGCTGAGAATTTCATGGAGATTAAAACCAAACTTACCCTGTTCCTTCGATGACAGCACTGAAACACAATAGGGATTGGAAAAAAAATGTTATTCTGGCTCATATCAAACATCGACTATACTCTAAACCACATTTAATTCATATGAGTTCCTGCATATAAGCAGGCCAGTCAGATGAGCGTTGTCATGTGGAGATGCTTGGATTGGTTCGCAAAGAGGCTCTCCTATTGGTGCTGTTGGAGATGACGGGTGTGCTGAACATACCGCTCTCTGCCCTGGTGACGATAGGTGGGGAGGTGATGGTGGTGGAGTCAGAGATGCCTGTCGTGGGGGGGGAAGTGCTCTCCACGTCCCTTTTTCTCCTCCGGCAGTTCTGGGAGTAGAGAGGTACAGGACCAGAAGGTGGGGGGTGGGGTGATGTGAACACCAAGGCCACAATTATCATAATGAATCATCTTCATCTGTCTCCGTCTCTAATATAGAAGTAAGCCGGTCCTAAGACCAACCGCAACAAAGTCCTGCTTTGGCAAAGCGTACGTGTTGAATTCCTCTGCCTTTTGCCACATGATTTTTCATGTTTTCTTGCTCACCATGTTGGGCCCGTCCCTCCCATATTCTCTTCACCCACGAAGAAGGTAACTTTTTCCCTAATAAACCTGTTGTTCCCTTGCAAACTGGCCGTGTCGAGTTGCTCCACTTCCTACACTGTCCCAAGATACCCTCGTGCCCTAGTTCAGCAAAGCCTACTTGACCTGTTTTTAATAGACCGAGCAACTCTCAGGGTCTCTATGAAAATCATTAAATATACTGAGCTAAGAATGAGCACTTCTGACTTGTAATGTCATGGTCCAGTCCCGGAATTCAACCAGCTGTCTCACTTGAACAGATTTGAAATAATAATACACAAAAACTATAGGTTGTGCTGAGCAACCTGGATGAACCCTATTTGTGGTCTACTGCTGTATATGTACTGAACTCAACGGTATACAGCATTCCCACATAGTAATCTTTATAAATAATGGAAATATGAAATGATGCTTAACTTGCCATTTGCACAAGAACAAGGTCATTGGAATGCTTTTTCTTGCAAACCCATCATGCTCTCCTTTTTGACACGTACATGCACACATGGAGGTAAGAGCAAAGCTTAGGGACTGAGCACAGGGTCAGGCATTTATCTGGTGCCCCTGAGGTATTTAGGGGGGTTAAGGGCCTTGCTCAAGGGCCCAAGGGCAGCATCAGTTTGCTGGCCCCGAGATCGACAACTATCTGATCGCATGCACTGAGGTCTAATCCACTGAGCCACACATCAGTCCCCAGAGTGGCGTGCTGAAGAAGGTAGATGTGGGTCGTACCTGGAACTGTGCGCAGGTGGTCTTCTCACAGAGCCGGGTGATGCAGTGCAGAAAGTAGGTAGCAACGGTCTGGTTCTGCTGCTCCACAAAGCGGAAAGCTGGGAAGGTGAACCTGGCGTTTTGGCTTTGACCATTCTCTAGCATGGTTGTCAGCTTGTCCCTGTTACACCTGCGGTTGAAGCCGAGGTCGGGGGGGTTGGGGGCGGTTAGTGAGAGCAAGTGGTCACTGACTTCAAGGTGGATTCAAGCCTCAGATCTCACCATAGTTACTCGGCGGCTTCTTCGGGCACACTTACGCAACAAAGAGATTGAAGAAGGTGGAGTTGTGGGGATGGGGAGTCATGGAGGCATAGCATCGATCCAGGAGCACATTGTACCTGTAGGGAGAGGAAAAGATCACTCAGCACCATGCCAGTGTAAGTGTGGAGCGTCTTAATGCAGAGGTCTATGTGGATGACATGGTGTCTTACTGGGATGTCAAGTTGGTGGCCTTCACAAGCACATATACGTTAGTCTTCAGCTCGATGCCCAGTGGCGACATGACCATGAGGGTAGTGTAGTTTCTATCCTGGGCGCAAAACATAATAAGTATATCATGTGTAACTACAGTAACACATAAATGTAATAACTGAGGACTCATAGAACTCCCAGCACATTACAGTGGCTCTAAGCCGCCCCAGAATTTCGTTTTGAATAGCTTCATGGATATCTAACCTAATCCTCTGAACAGGTCAGCAGCCTCTCCGGGGAAAAGTGCTCCAACGGACACAGGAGAATGGCCTCCTGTCAGGCCGGTGAGGCCTTACCTCATACAGCTGCATGCTCAACGTGCTGATGAAGCTGCCATTGTTGTCCTTTACTGCAATGGAGGCTGATGCCCTGTGGGGAGAAAAGGGCCAGGAAATATTATGAAATTTCATCCCTTTGTCTATCTTTCATTTATAATATTATTAAATCCAACCAGATTCAATGCCTGGTTGACACTCAATAAAACAGAGAAATAAAATCTTAAAATTAAATACATGCCAGTATGCCTCTTTATTCCTAGCCGTACATTTATCCATTTTATTTGGATAAATATATATATAAAGGTAAAAGACATGGCAATTGACCCTGGTTTTTGCTCTTTATGCTCAGTTTGACGTCTGTTCTGTCATCTGGGCTGTGTTATATATACAGGATGACAAGAGTGCATAATTGGACGAGAATGGCACCCTGTGTCATGTGACTGATAAAATATGAGCTCTATTTTTTGTTCATTGGTAGACAACTTACACCTCAATCTTTGTGTTGTTGATCAGGTACTCCAGTGCGTAGGAGCAGGAGTATAAATACTTCAGCTCGGCGTTGTAGGTCACTTGGCCCACTGTCGGGTCAAATGATCGAATCAAACCGCTAATGTTGACTGTCTGGATGTTGGAGAAGTCTGAAAAGACTCCAGTGCCTACTGCACCTGTAGTCTGGCAGAACATGACAGATTTAGTCAGATTTCCTACTAGGTGACGCGGTAAACAATCATATTGGAATAGAAATATAATGAAAACACAATGTAATATAACGTGAAGTCCAATAGAGGCAGTTGGGTCAATTGATTGTCAAATAATCCCCTCTGCAAACCTTTATGTAAGTCAAATTTTACATCAGTTGGATTTACCTTCCCATGCCATTCAGGACACTTTACACCAAAAAAAAAAAAACATATGTAATCCCAAAATACACTGGTAATACATAGTAAGCGACATACTAAATAATCAAAAAGACAAAATGTAAATTTGCTTGCAGTATATATGTCACCTTTTTGCATTAGTGCTTCCCAGGGGTGTGTAAAGGGGTGGGGTCACAAAGTCCTTGGCCCCAACTGAAAGCTGACTGGCCCCCAGAGAGCTCCCTCCCTAGTCACTCACCGGTTATAAACATATCATTGGCTGATGATAAGTCTGACCCTTCAGTATGAATTATGGTCCTTCTTATGCCCCACTTAAAAAAAACCACCCTTCTGTAAACTTGATATAAGTCTGGATTTACTTAAGTTAGTTTGATGTAAGTCCAGAGCTGCCTATATAAGACATTCAATGTGTTTGATTATTTACATCCTCATTAAGGACAGTTAGAAACACAGCGGACACATATGTGCAGGTATTTCTGAGCTCTCCATCTAGGATGGAAAATTCAGCCATAAGTTTCGCGTTATAACTTGTCACCAGTTAACCACTCACGGTGAATTCACTTCCACAGGAGTTTGTCTGGTTCAGCGGAAACTGGAACCGCACCACTGGCGGCATCACACTGGTATCCAGAATCCCCCCGCAGCCCGGATCCGTCCTGCCGTTCAGTAACAGCAGGGACTCGTTGTAGCCGGTGTAAACGACGGGGCAGGCCTGCACTGCCAACTGTATCGCGGTGGTCCCACAGTCCACAGAGATATCAGTGTACTCTAAAAATCAAAGAACAGCTTCTGGCACGCGGTCCGGTTCTCTCCAGCATCATAAGCTTCTATTTCTAAAACAACAGTGTTTTCAAACACTCGGTTTTACTGCTAATATTTTACTGCACACCAACTGAAACAAATGCATGATCAATTACAGTTAATAACTGCACGCAAACCTCAACACTGACCATTTTACCGGCCTTTTTGCAAAGCCACCTGGTAAGTCTATCCAACATTAAAATATATCATTTAAAATGCATAAAATGGTCAAATAAACAAACAAAGAGGTGTCACCAGTTACAGGTGTAATACATTACCTGGGCGTCTGTAGTAAACGCCACAGTCCGCCACAGTCAAAGACTGGCCACTATCGACAAGCATCAAAGCAAAAACCACGCCAAATAAATGCATCACGTTGGTCTCCCCTGCATGCATCTGTTCAGAAACAAAACATAAATAAAATCAGGTGTTCTTTACCAGCATATGGTTCTCAATATTAGCTTGCCGGTCCAACACAAAAGCAGAAAGCTGGCAAGGAAGCTGCGGAGCTGTAGCAATTGATGTCTTGAATGATAATACATAAGCAGCAGTGCACACCTTGCATACACACCTGAAGCCTTCCTCACGGACACTTTTTCTGTGTAACTCAGCGCTGTATCAAGTCAGTCACATATACCGTTTTTATAGAGGGGGAAGTTCTCCAGGATTGGACAGAAACAAGGACAATGCAGCCTGAAGAGATTGCCTGAGCAGACTGTAGGGGAACAATTCACTTTTGTGGATAAGATACCACAGAGCTTACCGCCAAAGGCAAAAAAAAAGAAATTCTACACATTGCCTTCGAGTTACTTGAAGAACAATGACTATGTGGAATTTTTTTTACCCGTCGTACTGCAGAATATAGATTCCAGTGGCATACTAATAAGAGACATGATGAAGTAAGTTTGATGTCCTTGGGGAATCCACACAATGCACCTGTGACTTATTTTGGAGCTTATTATGGCTGGTAACAATAGATATGCAGCCTTTATTTCGCACGGTGTTGATCCTGAGAACCGAAATGATTAGTCCAATAATAAAGAGACTTAAATTATAGAGGATTCCACTTAAACACAGTATTGGCGTTTTTTTCCTCTTCACTGAATTTGAAGAGAGTAATTTTACATTAACACTCTGAACAGAAAACTGCCATATTGCATTCTCGAGCATGTCACTGGCTGCAATCAATATGAGGCGCTTCCATTCTGATTTGACGTCTAAGAGCAGAAAAAAGTACACGCTCAGCAAATAATTCAGCAGTATTTCTAAGTGGTTGTTATGTGAGAGGCACAGAGGCTTGATAGATAGCCCTCTTGCTTTCCGCCTCCCGCTGTGAATCCTGCCTCCCGCTCTGTCTGCGTGGAATTCACACGTTCTCCCCATGGTGCATGGAATTTGTACGTTCTCCCCATGGCGCGTGGATTCTATGGGCTGATATTTGTGCCACTATAAACTGAATATGAATTTTGTATATTTGAATCTGCAATTATCCGCATTACAAAACTGAATCTGAATTTAATAGTTTGAATCTGAATTCCAGTAACTTGAAATAGCATTTATCCTACCTCGAAAAATTCAGTTCGCAAATTCCAATTTCAATCTAATGTGATACACATCCGGGTCCTTGAGGACAAGTAATCGACCGCAGATTCACAACGCAACTCATTTCCACGTTTACGGCAGTTCTGCAGGTCGGGGTAAAGAGGAGGCGAGTGCTGGTGTTCTGTCGATATATGAGCACTGCCTTGTCGAAAAATGCTACCGTAGTGCTAATCGATAGCCCTAACCCCCCAAAACCCCTAAAGCCCTTACTTTAACCCTAACACCTAACCCTAATCCCAAAACGGTGGAACTGCACATGCGCAGAAAGGCTCGATAGCACGGCTCGATAGGTAGTATTTTATGACTGAACACCGGGATGTCAGAAAAACAAATGCTGGATTCGCAGGTTTATCATTACCTTATGATACATCTGAGAATATGCTTTATATACACAAGCAATAGCATAAACATTAATCATACGTCTGGTTAGTATATGGTAGTATATGTGGTTAAATGAATGATTTGGTGTTCTGACCAGTTGAACTACCTATCGAGACGTACTATCGAGCCTTTCGGCGCATGTGCAGTTCCACCGTCTTGGCATTAGGGTTAGGTTTTAGGGGTTTGGGTTAGGGTTAGGATAAGGGTTTTAGGGGGTTTGGGGGTTTAGGGTTAGGGTTAGGGTAAGAGTTATGGTTAGGGCTATCGATTAGCACTACGGTAGGATAACTCGACAAAGTAGCTCATTTCGACAGAACACCGGCACTGCGAGTTTATGTTAATATGGTAGATTAACGCAAAACTAGCTAGGGATATGAATTTTACTTCTAATTTAGTTTCAGTTATGGCTCGCCTGTTCATCTCATGTGGCTTTCTAGCAGTGTTTATGCTACATATTTTTTTAAATATTCATCTCGCCGATATGAGGCGGAAATCAGTATTAATTTTATGTGAGTATGGAATATTATTTACCACTTCATAATGCATAGAGAATGTAAATATGACCAATAGAGTTATGTCCATGCAATGACATATTTGTGGTGTTCTTTTCCTTTCTTAAACACCTACATTACTAGTGTGCTTTGGTAATGAAAATTGCCTATAACTGATTACATAAAACATTACATTTTTGTGGAGAAAAAAGCACTGAACATGAAATATTAAGCAAATGTGTTTACATTCGCGATACACTCAAAATGGCGAATGGGGGCGTGTTAGACAGTGCAGACACTTGACTGACAAAGACCAATGCAAGGTTTGCTACTGAAGGAAGCGATTCGCAAAAATTCACGGCTGGGTATTTAAAAAAACACAATTAGAAATGGTCATGCCGAGGGACGAAATAGTAAAATGGATGATTGATAAACATCATCTAGGGGTGTGGATCCAGGGAGAAAACAACGATGGTGAATGGTTGAAGAAATGATTATGCTTAAGTGACGAGATATTGTTACACGATAAGAAAATGTATAAAAATTAGTGTAAAACAGTATTGGACACTCCTGCAGGGTGTCCAGCCTTGGCTGTAACCTCACTGTGGCAATAAAGGATAAATCTGAAGATCTACACAAGCGACTCCTGATTGGCGGGGGAGAAAAAAACACAACACGAGTGCATCGACACACATACCCCTGTATCGATCTAAATGTAAAGTTATAAAGCGGATTTGAGGTGCGTCTGGTCTGCTTCATGTCTATAGCGCTCTCTATATACTGTGCTAATAACCGGAAGCATCAGTTGGACTGGCGTTTAATATTTTGATCTGTATAAGCAGGGTTCGAAGTGGAGAAATGAGTGTCGCTACTGTATTGACCGTGAGAACGGCGGCGGGGGTGTTGGGAACAACAGAAGCGCCTCAACAGCACTGTCGGTAATGCGCGCGGTGCCCCGCCACTCTCGTGTGACGATTTCCTCTGAGTAGCAGAGTACTGGCAACTTGTGAGAAGTGGTGGTACGATAAAGATTAAAATATAGCAGTGCCGGTACTGCTTAATTTTTATTACGTATATGATCCCGCATTTGCGCTTGCGACACCCGGGCACACGCCTCCTCTTTACCCCGACCTGCAGAACTGTTGTAAACGTGGAAATGAGTTGCGTTGTGAATCTGCGGTCGATTACTTTTCCTCAAGGACCCGGATGTGTGTCACACTAGATTGAAATTAAATTTGTGAACTTAATTTTTTGAGGTAGGATAAATGCTATTTCAGATTATAGGAATTTAAATTCAGATTCAGTTTTGTAATGCGGATAACTGCAGATTCAAATATACAAAATTCATATTCAGTTTCTAGTAGCACAAACATCAGCCCATAGGATTCCTCCAAGCACTCCAGTTAAGTAGTTCAGTAAATTGGTAGTTATGTGAACGGATAGTTCTAAATTGCCGGTTGTCCCCTGCTTTCAGCCCTGTGCTGTCTGGAATGAGCCCCACCAACCTGCACTGATTGATAAATATTGCATCATAAGGTCCCACTGGTTCATGTATATTCTACCCATGTTTATACTGGTTATCACTGGGAACTATGGCATCCTTCCACAGTCCAGAGATTTAGGTAAGTAATGAGCACCTCTAAACTCTATCTGAGCCCTTTGATAAAAATTGGCAGCCAGTCCAGCAATCTTCTCTGCCTTAGGCCCTGTAATTCCTTGTACAGACTGGCAGTAACCCTACACTATTCACTGCCAAGTGTTGCACAAAATGGGCATTTCATTATTTACAAAAATTAAAGTAGCATTTTCCAGTGTAAATATGAGGTGGTGAGGTGACTTATAACCGCCAGGGTTAGGGTTCATTTCCAAGCCGGGCTCTGCGCATCTGGAGTCTGCATGCTTTTCCCAAGTTTACCTGGGTTTTCTCTGGGTACTTCTGCTTCCTGCCACCATCCCGACGTGTCAGCTCAGCGGAATCGATTGCCCAGAGCATGGTCGTAGCTAGGATTTTAAAAATACCGAAGTCACAATGTTAGTCCATCCTAGGTGTGCCCCCTAACGGATTGTGGTTATTGGAGTTGCAGAAAAAACACTGAGGATTTGACCTCGGTGTCCTCAGTGGTAGGTAAGGTCATGGCCCAGAGCATGTGCTGAGTACTTTCCCTGAGATACAGCCCATTCCCTGCTTTGTTCCCTGTCTATCCAGTTGTTTACTGCTGCTGTCGTCATTCGATGAAAAAATTAACCTGCATTCGTTAAGTCATATTTTTTCTGCATCACAATCAGGAGGGCATTTTTTATGCTATACGGGTTCTGGTGTTATTCAGGAAAAAATTTAATTAAAAGACCAAAATGAAATGAAAATTACCTTTGTCAATTTAATACATGCTGTAGGTTGTTTTATTGTGGAAGACAAATTATATCTTCTATAGACTAATGTGCCATAATAAACTTTAAGTAAAAAATGACATGCAACACCCCTGTCCAGCATTAATCATTTATTAATGATGCGGTAGGCGTAAGTTTTGCAAGAGGAAGTGTGAGAAGACATCGAAATCCCACAAGGAATTATCCTGTTGTTCTTTTGAAGTGTGGCTTTTAAGAAAAGCACTCTACAACATTTGTGACCTTTACTAATGACAGATAGCCCTATTTTGTTCATATCAGGCACCATGAATCGGGGTGGCGTTATGACTGGAGAGGTCTACTTCAAAATGCCAGTGTAACAGAGATATGTTCTCATGTGTAGCGATGGGATAGACGAGGTCAATTTTTCGTTCTAGGGGAAGATAGAAAAACTGACCTCTTTTGTAACACTTTACATTGTCAAGTGTTCTCACCTAGGGATTGATTAATGCAGAGCCTAAGGTGACTGCTGCCGCGAGTCGGCTGTAGAAATGGAATTTTCCCTTTATCACTTTTTAGTAAAAAAGAAAGCCCAGATTAAGACAGCTTGGCATTTTGAAGGGCGGCAGGCAATAAAGAACCCTCCACGCCCTGGGTGCAGTCCATCCCGTCAAGAGCCCAGGCTGCCACGAACAGAGCCGATCGCACGGTAACCGAAGACGCAACCAGACAGCTTGGTGAATGTGAGACGATCTCTGGGATTGAGCTGCCACGTTATGCCAAGCACACTGCCCGATTAGCGCAGCCTGTTCACGCCGATGGCTATGAGCTGATGGTGTTCCCTTTCTTGGCTCAAAAAATCAAATAAAAAGGAAGGAAACATTTTGCACAGAAGGACAGGGGGAGTGGGTCATGAGACTGCAAGCAGTAGACTGCAGATTTTGGATTTGCTTGCAAAATCGAACCACTGTCACTAAGTATCTTGTACATTTTAAAAATCATATTTTTTTAATACAGGGACAAGGGCTCAGAGGTTCCTGGTGGAAGCCCTTTGGTGCACACGAGGAAGAAAACTATGCCTCACACAGGGCTTCTTTTACCAATACAAAGTTTCCATATGGCTGTGAGGGGAGTCAGTGTCTCAGGGTTGGTGCCATCTGGTCCTGTCCAGTGCTTGCTATGGTTGGCTACTGTTACCATTCCTTCCATGTGGCTTAAACAAAATGTTCCTTGTTGGTTCATTGTGCCAGTTTACCTGTGTTGCTAGTTGTACTCATGACAGTGGTTCCCTGTGTTTGCTCTTTGCCTCACGTTAAGTTTTATCAGTGTTGTGTTTGACCCCTCGTGGTCTCTTTATTTTGTGGTTTGGCCCTTTGTGTCCCATTTTTCTTTAATAAAACTTTTCTGTCTTGGAGCCATTCTGTGGATCATCGTCTTTTCCCCACTTGCGCCATGCCCCGGCGTAACAACTCGGCCTTTGCTGGATATATCCATCTGTATAGCCATGAACTGTAGGGTTAAGTGTTTACTAAAAAACCGTATGTCTGTGAATCAATATAAAAAGAGAAACCACAATCACCGGTCTCTCTACAAGGAACGCAATTCTGATGCATCCAGAAGAGCCTGAATTCTTCATGGCATGGACTCAACAAGGTGCTTTGAAACCTACCTTCCAGATTCAATTCAATTCAGTTTATTTATATAGCGCTTTTAAGAACAGTCATTGTCACAAAGCACTATACATTTAACCGGCCAGAACCCCCACAAAGCAAGCCTGCGGCGACAATGGCAAGGAAAAACTCCCTCTAGCAGGAAGAAACCTTGAGAAGAACCTAGACTGGGAAGGAGACCCCATCCTCCTCTGGGCGACCGGGGAGCATGAAACTGCATTTACGTTGACATTAATTTCAGTCCATATAGTTTTAAAGTCCCAGTGTCGGCTCGGGATCAGCATGGAAAAGAGAAGATGGAGAAGAGTTATTTCTCTACATCTAACCTAAACTCCGGCAGTACTAAAGTAACTAAAGTAACTTTGGCAAAGTGGCTGAAAGAGAGACCTGGAAGGAAGCACAGACATGAGGGTTTCCAGGGGTTTTGGCGTCAAGCCAAACTACCGTCAACAGCTTAAGTGATCAGTGAAAGTGGCAGGACAACAGCACCAATCCCCCCTTTCACCTTTAATCTCAAATGACCATGAACCTCCAGATTTCTCATTCACCTTAGAAAAGGGGATTTTACTATCCAAAAGACTGTCTAAAGAGGTGAGTCTTAAGCCTTGACTTAAAAGCAGAGATTGTGTCTGAGTTCCGAACACTAATAGAAAGTTTATTCCATAACTGTGGTGTTTTATGAGCAATTGCTCTTCCCCCAAAAGTAACATTATTTATTCTGGGTATGGATAGAAGACCTGCATCTTGCGATCGAAGTGTATGATTCGAAATGTAGTTGAAAATGAGGTCATTCACATACTGCGGTGCAAGACCATTTACAGCTTTATAAGTTAAGAGTAGTATTTTGTATTCAACAGCCAGTGTAGCAAAGATAAAATTGGGATAATATGATCAGTTTTGGTGAGGACTCTGGCTGCTGCATTCTGGATTAGCTGGAATTTATTTAATGACCTATTTGGACAGCTGGAGAATAAGACATTACAGTAATCGAGCCTGGAGGTAATGAACGCATGAACCAATTTCTCTGCATCTTGAAAGGATAGCGTGTTTCTTAACATGGCAATATTACTCAGGTGAAAGTAGGCAGTACGGCTAATGTTAGAAGTACACCAAGGTTTTTAACAACAGTACAATAGATAGTCCATCCAGATTGACTATGATGTCAGATAGTTTACTTCTGGTGGCTTTAGTGCCAGTAAGAAGGACCTCAGTCTTATCTAGATTTAACTGGAGGAAGTTGTCTGACATCCACTTTTTGATGTGAATTAAACATTCTTCCATTCTCTGAAGTTGCTGTCTATCTTCTGGTTTGGCCGATATATATAATTGTGTATCATCTGCAAAGTAATGAAAGCTAACGCCATGCTTACGAATAACTAAGCCTAAAGGTAACATGCATAGTGAAAATAGTAGGGGACCTAAAACTGAGCCTTGTGGTACTCCGTATCTGACCTTGACATGTTCTGAGGAATCACTATTTAAATTCACATCCTGATAGCAGTCTGAGAGGTAAGATTTAAACCAAGAGAGCGCCACTCGCCTTATGCCTACAGTATGTTCAAGCCTGTCTATGGGAATGGCATGGTCTATAGTATCAAAAGCAGCACTAAGATCAAGCAGCACTAGGAGCGAGGCACAGCCTTGGTCAGCAGATAGGCGAAGATCATTTACTACCTTCAGTTGAGCAGTCTCTGTGCTATGATTAGCTGTAAACCCAGACAAATCTTTCATAAATCTGATTCCTGCAGAAATGATGTTAGTTGACTAGCTACAACTATCTCTATTATTTTAGAGATAAATGGTAGATTGGAGATTGGTCTATAGTTTATTATTTCCAAGGGATCCGAGTTTGACTTCTTCAATAGAGGTTTAATTACTGCTAGTTTAAGAGATTTTGGTAGATGGCCAATGCTGATTGAGGAGTTAACTATTGCTAGTAGCGGTTCAGTCACTGCCGGGATCATCTCTTTAAATAATTTTGTTGGAACAGGGTCTAGCATACAAGTAGATGAATTTGAAGATAAAATTAAGGACGTCAGTTCTGATTGGTTAACCATGGTAAATGCTTCAAATAGGATGGTTGCAGCATTAGCACATGCCGTGTCAAGGCCAGAGAATGTAGTTATTGGAATATTCAAAATGTTATGTCTAATTGAACATATTTTTAGTAAAAAAATTGCATAAAGTCGTCACTGGAAAATAACACGGGTACATTTTGAGTAGTAGTCTGGTTATTAGTCAGCTTGGACACCATATTAAATAGGCATCTAGTATTATTTTTGTTTATTTCAGTCCACGTAGACAAGATTACATCATGTAATTGTTGTATATTCGTGCTGTGAATCCCTATAATACACTGAACTCATTGTCATGTTCATGGAATCATCATCTGAGATGACTTATGCTTCATGATGTGGAGCATTAACCCACTGGAAAGGGTTTACATGATCAGGAATAATACTCTGATAGGTTGTGGTATTTATGTGATGCACGATTGGTACTAAGGGGCCCAGTGTGCACCAAGAAAACATTCCTCACATCATTACATCAACACCATCAGTCTGAACTGCTAACGCAAGGTAGGTCAAGTCCATGGATTCATGGTGTTTGTGCCAAATTCTGACCCCCACCATCTGCGTGTTGCAGCAGAAATCGAGACATCAGACCAGGCGATTGTTTTTCAAATTTCCAACTGTCCAGTTTTGTTGAGCTTGTGCCTATTGCAGCATCAGATTCCTGGTCTTAGCTCACAGGAAAGGAACCCAATTCGATCTTCTGAGGTTGTCATCTCAATGTTCAACATGTTCATTTTTGTTTTTCTGCTCATAACTGTTGTAAAGAGTTGAGTTACTGTAGCCTTCCTGCCAGCTCTTATCAGTCTGACCATCCTCCTCTCTCATCAAGGTGTTTCCATTCACAGAATTGCTGGTCACTGTATGTATTTCACACAATTTTATTTATAAAATAGACTGTTGTGTGTAAAAATCCCGGGAGATCAGCAGTTTCTGAAGTACTTAAACCACCCCATCCGGCATCAACAACCATGCTATGGTTAAAGTCACTCAGGTCACATTCTGATGTTTGGTCTAACATTAATTGAAGCTCTTGCCCATATCTGCATGATTTTTTTGTATCGTGCTGCTGCCACATGATTGGCTGATTAGGTAATTGCATGAACAAAGAGGTGTGCAGGTGTTTTTAATAAAGTGGGCAGTGAGTGCATGTGTTTTGTTTTCTGGGGGAACTACTGCAATTTTCACTCAACGTTTTCAAATTTCCATGGGGGGGCAGATGAAAATACAGAAAAAGGAAGAGTGCTATGTACCAGGATAACAATACTCACATATTTTACATCTGGAAAATTCTCTGCCATTTTCATGTAGTTATGTTAGTGCCGCCTTAAATTCAAGGTCATTCTGAATGAAATTCACCAAAGCCACAATTCTCAAATATACATGCGTGTAAGATCATAAAGGAAATAGCTAATTGTCATGCGATGGCTAAAACACGTTATTATCAGAGGTGCTATTCAACATGTCCATCAATCATATCCTGTTATGGTGCCTGATACGACTTAAAAGAGCTATCGGGAGCCTGACGTAGAGGATACAAAGGAATTGACTCTAGGATAAAGTATATGTTACAGCTGGATGAGCAGAAATTATCTTGGGTGTATCACGATGGTCGCATCATGTGTCATGTCCTTACTGTAGAACTTCAATAGAAATGACGTAGAATTCTGCCTTTTTTGTTCTGGAGGTCCACCCTGCCCATCACATTCTAAAGAAGCTTTTCTTTTTCCTCCACCAGTAACAAACCTCTCCAAAAGCCTTCATTTCAATTTGTTTCAAACATAAACAAAGATTTGCAGAATCTAAAGCTTCCAGAACCTATTGGCATGATCTCATCACTTATCTAATGATTTAATTTAGTATTGCTATTAAACAACATCCCACGTAGCAGACCAAGACTCAGGCTATTACTTTGCTATTAAGGCTCAGAATTGCGTAGATTAACTGCTGTATGGGTGGCCATGCAGTGATAGTGGCCTGGAGCCTATTCCAGGCAACACAGGCCACAAGGCTGAGGTCACCCTGGATGGGATGCCAATCCTTGACAAGGTAATTAACAATACACTAAAGATGCACAATTCTCTTTACTGGACAGAGTGACACTTTCCACATTGCACTTTACCATTTCATTTAACCTATATTAAAATAACTCACTGCATTGCTTGGTCAACCAGTGTTTACCATACTGTTTACTATATTATACTGATATTTATTTATTTATTATTAAGCTATACCTTGTTTCAGTCATTCCTTCTATTGTCTATTTATTCCATAAACACATACATCTACAGCACCTACTGTAGCTATATGTCTTCTCTGATGTTTGAGTGCCTTTGTTTTGTTTTGGGCTGTCGAATCCTGCTGAATGTTATATGTCACTGACTGGATGGTGCAAATAAGAATTCCTATGTACAGATATACAAAAGGCAAACAAAGAATCTTCACTCTTTAACTGAGAAGTCAAGGACACATAATTAAAAAAAAACGGCAAAAACACACAAGTGAATGTTACCCTGCTTGCAATCCAATTATTTAATATTAGGTTTGTTGGCCGTATCATAAACGATTCATAAGTGAATATCTGAGCCTGATCAAGCAGAAACGCAATATTCAGCTAGTGTCAGAAAAGGATTCTTCAAAGAAAAAATAAATGTTATTAAACTTTCTATTTCGAAATACTGCAAAAGATGCACATTACTCTCTAGTGCAATTCTTGTGTATATGTGCAATAACTAAATATACAGAAGTCTGTAATTACAGAATGTTCACAAAGTATACTAGTCAAATTATTATAGCATGAATGACTTATTGCTTAAACACACTGGGCTCATAGAATACATTAAATTCAAATTACATTTATCCCCCAACAGTTAGTAGTTAGTAAAATAATTACAGCTGCTTTACAAAATACAACAATATTATTACAATAGACTGGATATGCATTGATTTGTGTAATTCAAAATAAATGTGTCATAATGCATTGTCAATTTTTTTAAATTATGTACTTAGGTTACAGTGATTAGGATTTTAGAGGTTTAAAAGCTAATCATATAAACAATAATAATGAGTATTAAATATTACCTATAATAGTTTAGCTATTTTTGGTCTCCCATCCTTTCTATGACTGTAAAACACTTGTCTATTTTGACAGTGGGCTGCTGTTTTGGCGTTTTTCATTTAGTTCCAATAACTGCATGTATGTGTAACTGTATTATTTCTTTGAGTCTCTCACAGTATTTCCTTAATACAGTGCTCATCTCTGATCATGTTACGAAGTACCGATACGTTACCATGAAAATGATGCCAGACATACATCGAACGGGTACGGTGATGCAAGTGATCCTGCTCCCTGCAACGTTAAGTAGAAAAAACTGAGGTATTGAATCGAAGGTACATCCTACGTGCTGATCTGGGTCAGTTTAGGATATCAGCGTTAAAAAAAAACAAAAAAACACCAGTACAAAGCAATAGCCCTTGGACATAAACAAAACCAAAACAGACATACAGTAAACACCTAACAACATTCAACATTAGATCTGCCTGTGGCACAAGCGCACAATCTTGTCTATTTCAGGGATCCACAACTCTATCGCCAAAAGGCCCAAGGGCGTCCTGACTTTCCCTCGACTGGCACCTGATTCTTCCATTTAGTGAGACAGCAACTAACCTCACTGGATATTTTTACATTTAAAATGGGAACTAATCGCTAGGCATGAACTCCAATCTGCCAGGTACCCATGTCTGGTTTCCTTTTTACGTGACTACTGCTGGTTCTCGTGGACCAGAAGCAGGATTTCTTCACTAAGAACCAGATAAAACAGATGTTGCAATGGAGGCAAAGGTCACCCTATATTTCGAAGCTTTCTGTGTGCTTCAGATGAGATGTTGGTTCCTTGTCATCATTAAATATCCTGCGCCAGTCAATGAAAGAGTGGAAATGTTAACCCCAGTTCACAAATTCTCAATCTGGCCTTATAAAAATGGTTCTAATTGCTCCCCAAATGTACTCCTGGCTGTCACATTTCATACTCTGAACTGTAGTGAGCACTGGAGCACAAAATGGGAGTCCAGTAGAGTACTACTAATGGTTGAGGTTAGTTACCATCCCCAAAAACATTTTAAATCACTTTGAATATGACAAAAGCACTTTGAAATGATTATGAGGATGAATTATTATTACTTATGAGAATTCCCTTCGATGATTAGAGTTGTGCATCTGAGGTCTACTGTAACAGCTTCCCGTGTGTATTATCGAATCCCTCCAAAACACTTCTCCTTGGAGCAAAACGGGGCAGCATCAGTTGAAGGTGGGGTTCCGGACACCAGACAGCCCGGCAGAGCTGGCCCTCTTGCTCCTGAACATCACGAGCGAGAATATGAAGAAGCACAGGCTCACAGCACCCAAGACAATGACCCCAGAGATCAGGGCACTGGTCAGCGAGTTCATCTGGAGGTCCGGGCCATTCAGTTGCACTGAAATGCACAGTCAGAAGGCGAGGTCAAAGGTGAAGGCTCAGCCCATGACATGCATGTGCTCAGGACCATCTCAGACCACATCATAACCATTCTGACTTAATATGGCTTCTGTATGAGGCATGTGACATTATTCCTCATTGACAATTCTACTGTGTTGACTATTTAATGTTTAATTGTATTTTGTTTTTACATTTAGCTGTTTGGCACTTTGTCCATTTGAGGCAGATTACAGCTCTCAAGCCTGTTCTGCCAGTAATTAGGTAATAATGATTGGGTTTGTGGAATGCATAAGACATTATTTCTCACTGGAAATTGTATTTCCTTTAATTATACTAAACCTTGACTATTAGACCCAGCATCAGATAAGAACCACTGGCCTCATCTCACTTTTTTCCCCAACAAAATCACTTATAAGGAGGTTATTGTACCCCAAAGATTGGTATAGCAGTTTCAAAATGTTGAAACAATGTCAAGGCTTACCCATCTGAGAATTATTCATTGGAGTTTCATCTGCAAAGTGTAAAAAACAGGTCATTACAGAAAATATTTTAGTACAAAGATTTCATAGTGTCCCTGGTGTAACACAATACAGCTTAACGGTGAGGAAATTCACCCAGTGGCATGCCTACTTATGCCAGGCTGAGCTTCATCTCTAGGATGAGACAAACTTCAAAACGTGACACCTGTGTTTAAGTCAGAGTTAAGCTTATCCTTTAGTGCCACTGCAAAGCTTATCGGTTGCGCTTATCCTTTAGTGCCACTGCAAAGCTTATCGGTTGCGCTTATCCTTTAGTGCCACTGCAAAGCTTATCAGTTGCATTTGATTATTACAATGGTCTGTTACATCGAGGGCAATGTGAGTGACTACTGCAAGACCATGAGAAAATAAAATGCCCCATGGGATTCAGAGGGCTAGTCTTTAAGAGCAGATGAGACGGATGGGAACAGAGGCAGCGTGGCGACAAGGGGCGGGCAGTGAGGCCCTACCACTGCGAGTGATGATGGGCCCGGCCGTTATGACCGCCTTCTCAGAGGCGGAGCTCGATTCCTTTTTATCTGACACGTCCCTTTTCTTTCTGCTTCCACAGATCTGGGAGGGAAAGGCATAAAGTTATGGATTTCTTTTATGTGTCTTTGAATGATGAAAGATCTGAATATTATCAAAGGGCACTGTGTTATATAGCTGTCATATAAATAATACAAAGAAAATAGGCTTGTAATATTGCTATAAAACTCAACACCCATTTATAGATAGATATTTCATGCATTCCAAGCAGGAAATTATATATTATATATGAAATACACATACATTTAAGGAGACTGAGTGTGCATAGAGGTGTATTACACACACATTGTGCGATCAGTCACCTCACCGGCATGAGAAGCGCACAGTCATCGACGCGGCACAGCTTGGTGACACAGTGCAGGAACACTGTGGACATCTTCTGGTTCTTGTGCTTGACGAAGCGGAACACCTCAAAGGAGAAGCGGCCCATCTGGCTCTTTCCGTTCTCAAAGACGGTCGTCTGGGGGTCCTTGTCACAGCTGCGGCCGGGACGAAGGACACGGTTGTGACTCGGGGGGGCACGCCCGCATGCACACTGCTGGGAAATTATTCTATTGATAATAAAGACTGATTCTTCAGTTGCTCCGAGAGGTTTACCTAAAGAAAAGGTCGTAGCGCAGCTCGTCGTTGGGGTTCCCAGACGGAGTTGTGTAACAGTAATCCATCAGTACATTCCACCTATGGAGAAACAATGACGGACCTGGGACTGTCAGCATATAGCAGAATATGTATGTAATACAGAGAATTAGGGAACATTTCTCAGGGTTGCCAACTTTGGTCAGCTGACTGGCATGAGATTTTCAATTCAATTTTCAAGTTACCTGTATGTAACAGTTTAATTACCCTACAAATAATCTATGAGGCTTGCAAACAACCCCAACGGTTTTGATGTAGCTAATTTTAGGTTTATAATGGAATAATACAGAGAGATTTCTGGCGTGAGCGGTGGAGTCTGAAAGCGTAAGTATGATGTGTGGGAGTTGGTAGCCCTGCTTCTTTTACACAGCAGCACAGCGCTCTGCTTTAAGAACGCAGTGCTGTGATATATGTCCTGTGAGCCTCATTATGCCGTACTGCCTACTGTTATAGTGAAGTCTGTTGGAGCAAACTTGAACCCCCCTGCACCGGGGGTAATTAACTCGTGCGACTGAAAGGCATCGATCAGATCAGGCTTCGGCTAGTTATCTATTTACTTTAAATGAATTGCTTTATGGTGGGTTATTTTGCAGTATGTGTGCTGCCACTGCTCAGCCTCCACATCACTAGAAGTGCCCAGTCATCAGTAAGTGAAGGAAAAGAAAAAAAAAAAAAGAAAAGAAAAACAACCCAAGGCACGGATGAGCATCACGCATCATTAGCTAATGCGATTAATTAGCGGTGACAAAGCCGCAGCGTGGTGACAGAGATTTATATTATGGGGACGGTCCTGTCTGCGGTGCGCCAATGTCCTAATGACGCCGCAGCATCGCAATTACAAACACTTCGCTCATTTAACTTGGCTTTGCCTTCTTACAAAGCACTCTGTGTGAAGCATTAATAAGTGAATCCCAAATGGGAACGGTCCTTTACCTTCTATCCAGATTGGTGGCCTTCACGGCTGCGAATACTCGTGTCTTTAACGTCAGCCCGGCCATAGGGATGGCCAGATGCTGCGTGTAGGTGGAGTCCTTCAAAAAACAGGCACATATTCAGCAAATACATCCTCATTTTTCTATTGACATAATTTTCTCAATTTAAATGACATTTTTAGAAGCAAATCTAACCATATAACTTGTCTACATTAGACTATTGTGCTGTCTATGCAATTCAAACAAGTTTTACTTTAATTAGCAATAAAAATGCTTTGAATTGGCATGTATTTTGTGTAAAAAGAAATGAATCAACAGATGTTAGAAGCATGTGGTTGTGTGATTTATTTTCATGCAGACCAACTGATTTGTTTACTTACGTTGTAAAGTAATAAACTCAAGGTGCTTATAAACGTGCCGTTGCTGTCCTTAACAGATATTGCTGCAGCTGACCTTAACAAGAAAAACAGGAGTTACAGACCTCTTAATACATTTTATTGGGTAGAAATAGACATCCGCAACAGGACTGAAAAATTATCTTCATTTGGGAGGGTATTGATTATGAAATGATGCAGTTTTTAGAGTCTTAGAAAAAGAGCAGATCCTTTCTGTGAGGAGTACGTGAAGACATTGTGGCCAGATACGGTGAAAAACTCACGACGCGAGCTGAGTATTGTTGACCAGGTACTCGAGAGGATAGCTACAGCTGAATTTGTACAACAGCCCAGGCAGGTAGCTAATAATGGTGGGTGGGTCTGGGGTGTCGATGTAGCCCGATATGTTCCCGATCTGCACCAGGGAGAGGTTCCCGTAGGCGTTGGCCCCATGCGCTGTGGTTACCTGCAGCAGGGATACATCATGGATGAACCGTGGCTCCTCCATCCTGTGACACACTCCCCGATTAACCTGAAATCCCGCCATAGCGCAGACCTGCTCCCGATAGCATCTCACGCGCCATTACACTAATGCACCGGCGTCACGCTAATCCCTCGCCCCAATCCGCTAATTATACGCAGCCCAATTTACCCAAACCCAGCTTAGAGCCGCCTCATCATTCATCACTCTTGAAAGGAGCCCCGAGCTAATAGTGCTAAAGATTTTCCTCTATTTTGCCCTTGCAGAAAGTTCCAGACAACATCAAAACACTAAACAATCTGTTGCATTTACTTTAGATTCAAACCAATAGGGCTTGTTCATTTTGGAGTTTCCAGCAATGCATGCACTGAACCGCACTTTTGTTGTAAATGTAGCTGAAGTGTGCTGGTGTGTGGGTTCTTCTGAACATGAGGCTGGTGTGTGTGTGTGTGTGTGTGGGTGGGAGGGGGGTCAGATATACAATACATTGTGGGGACATAGAAATGATTACGGAAGGGCCCCATAAAGATATGAGTACAGGTCTTTGTGTGTGTTTGTGTGTGTGTGTGTGTGTGTGTGCGTGCATGAAACCTCACCACCAGGGAGTTTCCGCAGGACTCCAGCGTGCTCAGGCTGATGCTAAAGAGCACCACTGTGGGGAAGGTGTTGTTGTTGATGAAGCCTCGGCAGTGGGCATCGCCGTGGCGACCGTTGAGGGCCAGGTCGATGTCCGTGTAGCCAGAGAACAGCACAGGGCAGAAGTTGATCTTAAGGGTGATGGTTTGCACCCCGCAGTACACACTGATGTCCCGCTCCGCTGCGTTGTGTGGACAGCACTCTTGTTAAATTCTCACCGACAGATATAGTGGCACCACTTGAACATGTTACACATCAATTAGCAGGAAATTAGCAAAGACGCACAGGGCATCACTTAACATTCTTAGAGTTAAATTAATACTGTCACTTTTCCTGTTGACTTTTCCGTGTGGCCTCCCAAGCATGAAAATGGTGATATTTCACATATCAAATTGAGCATTTCTCCATGTTGATAAACGAATAAATGTACAGAGGTGCAAATAAAGTCAGTGTGTTTTCTTTCTCACCAGGAAATCTGCTGTGGTAGTTCGCATCACAGTTGTACCCATTGAACTGTGCCGTGACTGAGAGAGCCTTACTCATAAGCACAAGAACCAAACATGTTCGTTCCATTTCAGCACCTGGAACAAATTAAATCGTTAATCATCTCACCCGTCAAAAAAAAAAAACAGATTCACTGTCTGGACAAGCTGTGCACAGCAAACTTCAAAATGTCTATGTAAATATGAGGTGAGTAGATAACTAACATACTTCCAGCTACTCTGAATTATGAGCAACATTACCCGGAATCTATTGAAAAGTTAGATCTCATTTTTATTTCAGACTGATATTTACATCTGCTCTACAGAGCCAGAACGTGCACAAAAATTCAGGCATCCCTCTGAATTTGTTAGGAGTGCTTTTCTACATTCTCCTCTGAGGGAATCTGAGGGAACATATGTATAATTAATTTGCAGATCCGTGCCCATACGTCTCTGCTCTGCAAGTCTGTTTGAGAACAGGAACAACACATGGACGAGATTTGTTTGGCTGAAATATTAATTCCATCCTCAACTTCCTGCTTCATAACCACAAAAACGAGCCTCTTTTTGCAGACAGCCTGGCATTTGTCTGTTTGCCCTTTTGTTTTTTTAATCCTTGTGGGAAATCATGTAGTTTTCATCATTTATTCTTACCAATACATTGTTACACTCCTTTTACATATTTTGCATGCTGCTTTTCTCCCTCACACGTGTCCAGTTGTCTCCACACTTTATGACCTTCAACATGGACTGATTGTTTTTCCATATGACCCCATAAGGTTTGCTAGGTCTAAACAAAGACAGAGTTTTCTGGAAAAAAAAAACATTGGGATGTGTCCTTGGCTTATCACAAAGATCTTATCTTTGTGGAGGTTCAGACACTGAGACGAACACATCAACTTCTCACAGATATTCCCATTTTCTTTTGTTTCATACTTCTCCTGTTTCACCTATTGCATGATCAAGTTAATCACCATAGAACTCAACCATCTCTGGAGATGGAAATTCCCAGCAAAATCCAACATCCTTCTCCCTCCCCTATGAAAATCACCAACATCACCAGTAACAGCTGGTATTTATTTAAAAGTAAACTGGTCATCAGATGGCCCACGGTCAGACACCCAATAGCCACATTATTTGCAGACGCCCTCCTCACCATCAGATAAGCATATAAGGTGCCGGGACGAGGAGGACAGGCCTCGCCCACCATTAAATTGCCGCCAGGCTGCTGTGTTGCCCCCAGACACTGGGCAGCTGTTCCACTTACCCTGGTCCCTTCGAGAGACGACGAGTCAGCGGTACTCCATGTGCTCCGGAGCGTCGCAAGCCATCAAATGGTCAGCACCGCGTCCCAGAGAAAGCACTAGGAACGTGCCCCCCCCTCCCCCCACTTTGGCGAGGGGGGGGGCCACATAGAGATTCATTATTTGAACGCATCAACAAAAAGGGCTGTGTTGCTGGGGGGGGCAGACATGGGAAAGTCCATCAAACCTGAATGTATTGTACTAATCTTTTCACGGGCCCCGAAACCTGAGCGTGTTTTCAAGGTTCCCACTCAGATCCCGGCTGCTTGATCTTCCTCTGTCAGCACAAACGTTGGGGCTCTCCATGAGGTCCATTCTGGCCCGGGGGGGGGGGGGGCTATCTTTTCATCAGCGTCTGGAGCGGTCCAAGCCGTTGACTGAGGTGCCCTTTCTCCTCTCGTGGGTGGTGGGGCCATCTGGGCGCCCTTTTGGTGCTTTGTGTCCGATGGCTTCATCAGAACCTCCCCAACCCCCCCTTTTACTGGGACGTGTTGCGGAGAAGCATCTTCACTCCACAGCGCGTATCATACACGCCGGGACCCGCCATAACCTCCCTGTCAGCTGACAGCCCCTACGGTGTGTCACAGCAAGAGGGACAAGTATGAGGTTCCTGGAAATACAAGGAACATTTAAGATCTTTATGCATAATATGATCAGAGGTAAAACTGGTTAGCCTTTCTGGTCAATTCATTGTATTGATGTTTGGATGCATCAGTTTTCATGGGACTAATAAAGGGCTGTTTTATTATCAAAAAAACCTTCTAAAATCATATTCACAACATAGAACCACATAAATCAATAAAAATATTATAAAATGAAACTGAAAGACACCAATGGATATATCTACTGGATATGCATGGGGGGTGGGTGGATGGATGGATGGGTGGATGGATGGATGGAAAGGTGAATGGATGAAAGGATGGATGGATGATTATTATCCTAAAATGCACCATCTTAAGATATAACTAATACCTTTAATATTAAATTCTTTACAAACAAAGACGTATAACTTTACCCCCAGCTATCATATATTAACTCCAAATTTTGTATGTGAATGATTATCAACAAAATATATTATTTATATAGACACATGATGAAGATGATGTTTAAAGAAGGCATTTTTTCTCAAATCCAAAGCCAGTGAGCCACAATGGCCACCATCATTTGGCTCTAGAACGTACTCACGCAGTCAACGTGCCAGCAGACCAGCGATGGCCTCCTCTGTCTCCTGGCTCCTCTGTCTCCTGCCCCTTCATTTGTCAAATCTTCGCTGGCTCAGCACAAGCCGAGGCATGTATCCGTCTCCTTCGGGTTACACGAGTCCCTCTGCCCTCCCGATCTGGGATGGAGACACCATGACGTTGGACAGCAAAAAAGAAGAACGTTGTTTAAAAATTTGTAGTGTACTTTTTAAAGGCCATATTGACATATTTGCCCTATACTCAAGTTCTTCAAGTTAATCTCTTCAGCAAAGGCAATTGTGCCATATTATCTAAGTTGTAAAGTACGGAGAGATTGTTATGAAGGTCAGAGCTCAGAAAAATGCCCCTGTTCCTTTCCAGACCCCTACAGAACTCCTGGGTCCATTTGTACAGACTGCTTAAAAGTGTCACGATTGTAAACCAGAGCTTAGATGGCCTCAAACAAACGAGCCCTGAGAAGCTACTGGTTAAAGCTGAGGAGAACATATTGTGTGGCAGTTCAGCAAGCCTGATAGCTATCTCCATGTGAATGGGTCCAGCTCACGTGGTTCTTTCCTATTTCATGACTGTATTTCTCCATATACCAGTCAGTTCAAATCCTTATCAGCTGGAAACAATCTCAAGTTATGGAGCGGGAACAAACAAGGACTGTCATTCAAGCCAAAGGCCCCTGGGTGGTTTTCATCATCTCGATAACCCAAGACTGTCTGCCTTGACTTCGTTCTGCTTTCAGGAGAGCCAGAAGAATTTTGCAAAGAAGAGAGAGCAGTGCACATACTTTTAACTTATGACTAAAAGATTAACCCAAAGATCTCCAGCGCCGATCACACAAAAGTGTGTTTGATGTCAGACAAAAAAAAATCAATAGATGACACTCATATAATCCAAGATCTTAAACTGATGCATGAAGGGGTTGAAGGAAATTAGCTTTTTGGGCTGTGTACACCATTTCTTCATAACATCTACGAACATCAGGAGGTAAATCATATAAAGGAAAAGGAAAGGTTAGGGTTTAACTTCACCAAGTGCCTCAAGAGTGAATCAAGATATACCTGTAGGAAGTCTTGCGTAACTCCTAAATGTGAGTCATGAAACTGTATTATAACCTGGACAAGCATGGTGTAGAACTGCAGGAAATAAAACTGCACCTCCTCCACATCTTTTGTCTGAATGGAAAGATGGTGCAATTAGTTTTGGTTCACTTTTTTTGTGCATGACATTAATGCTTTTTTTGTCACCAGCGACTAAAATAGTACGTGGGTCAAAATGAGAGAACGGTGTCCTGTTTACGATGTCATCGTATAAACAAATGACCCAGATAGGGACAGTGACAATTACCTCATTTCAGTTAGTAAATAGGATAATCCATCAATTAAAATAGATATGATATGATCATGCTTTCTCTGAGACTAATAAAAGTCTATTAAACCTTCCAGAAAAATATCTCTAATTAAATAGCGAAACCCAATCACTTGCTGAGTGAAATGGCACTTTGCTTCTGTACTATTGTGTGAAATTTTATCTCTTGATTTTTGTCTAAGCATCCAATCATCCCTACATTTTCACATAGCCACTTATCCAGTACCAGTTCATCGTGACCCGGCAGCCAGTTCCTGGAGACAAAATGCAAGCGTGCAATGGGATTTGTGTGATACTTGCACTTCTCAGCTGCTTTCTGTTCCTACTGAGGTGCTATGAGTGAAGAAGCACTATTGCCTGCCGCTTCATCCATCTGTGCATCAATTTTTAATAAGTGTTTAAGCAAAGAAAGCTGAGTGTCCCAATTAACCAGAATACATTGACATAAATAGACATTCACACATATGTATGTCATTGGACAGTGACACAGAAACCAGAATTCCTGTAGGAAACCCACATCAACAACAGATAAAGAAATTTCAAGCCATCATAACATCACATAAAACTTAAATAAACTCATAGACCATTACTGCTGAAAACTTTGGTGCTATGATTAATATTACGTTATAACCAATGCTTTGGTAAGGGAATACAATCATAAAAACTCTCAAAGATACTAAAATACTCTGTCTTAATTCAGAAGACAGATGGTAGGGAGTGCATCTGAGGGAGAGGGAGCAGGATGACAGATATAGGGGCAGAGACAATTCACAAGGCACCCTTAATTTGTTTTCGCCCTGGTTCTTTGCAGAGTGCACTCATGTATGTGAATGAGAGCCCTCCAGTAGATTTTTCAACAGATTGTTCATCACTGTAAAAGGATCCTGTTACACTCAAGTGCAGAATTCAGCACCGGTTTCAGAGGATATGGGCCTGTATGACATCACTGAGCAATCAGTCCCTGCTAAGGCTAAATGTGTGTGTGTGTGTGTGTGTGTGTGCGTGTGTGTGTGTGTGTGTGCGTGTGTGCGTGTGTGTGAATATATTGCCTGGGTCAGTGCCATTGCATCTCTGTCCTACGTGTTCAGTCCCCCTTTGGCCAGCAGGTGTTGCTGACCAACCTGTTGCCTCTGCAATGAGCTGATTGTGTGGCAGAGAGACTGTAACCCTGTGGTCATGGGTTTGAGGCCAGTCTCGCCTGTTTTGTTTGTTTATTGGATTTCTGT